CCTCTAGTCATTGGCATGTTTAGCTTAGATCTCATTGGTCAGAACTGGGTTACAAGGTTAGAAATAAAAGAAACTGACAAATAAAAGGATACTTTTAAATTTTTGGCATGGACCTGGCACATTGCCACCATAAAAAGCTTAGAATTTCACTGCAGTGAAAAGAGAGTTATTCCTTAGGTTGGGAAATATCACGTCGCCCTCAGGGGTGATCTGTGCCCAAAACTGAGGTCACAGTCACAAAAAGTAAACTAGCCATTTTTATCCCAAACCTACAAGATGTAAATAAGTAAAACAGGCAGGTGCTTTCAGTACAGATGAATCCTAAATGGATATTAATCCCTAGAATAATCTCCAATTCCATAAGGAAATTTGCCCCTCCCATTGTCTTTGAATCAGGTAGCATCTTTGGCTATCTTTATTACACTTTCAAGAGAGATAAGAAAAGGCATAAGAAATTTTCAAACAATCTTACGAATTCTACTATAAGACAAACAACTGTGTTGTCATACTGATGGATGACAACTGGTATTTTAGCTTCCACACCTGAAGAAAGTGAGGCCGGGTGGAGATAGGGCAGGGATGACTGTGAATTTGCTCTGTCCCAAATGAGCAACCAGAGCTATCAGAAATTCAGCTCCTATTGATAGCTGCTGTTGTGGAATGGCATCAGATTTTCAAGAGAACACAAAAATGAAGCTTTTTGTGAAATCTCATGATTAAATATTAATAGTGAATTTGGGAAGTTTCAAGTGTGGAGAGGGTGAAATGTTTTGTGGCCTCTGAAAGCAGCTGTCCAGGATGAGAGCTCTCACTGCAAACTGAGGCCTATCACTAGCCCCTCAGCTCCCTGTCACAGAATTTCCCAAGTGCTCCCTCCCACTTCCCAAAATGTAGATAGTCCAATCAGTTGGAAAAGAAAAGGTCTAAATTAGGACATTTTTCATTCAGAACCTGGAGTTCACTGCTAAAAGCAAACATCTTTCACTTTTTGAAAGCTCTTCCCAATTTGTCACTAAAGGCTTTTGTCTTTGTCACTAAAAATTGTACCATTAAGATGAAAACAAACCCAGATGTGATTTTCATGCAAAGTAGTTATTGATTCAGTAATGCCATGGTGTCTTATTTCTTTGATTTGTTTGTTTTCCGTCTAGAATGTACAGTTTGCTCTGTAAGTGAGCCCAGTGATTTTTTTATGCTAAAGAAAACACTAAATATCTTCTTTGTCAAATGTTCCAAAGTCAAACCTCCAGGGCCAGGGATTTAGTTCAGTGGCATAAGTACCTGCCAGGCAAGTATGAGATTGTGAGTTTGATCCCTAATACCAATAAATAAATAAATAAATAAATAAATAGATTTAAAAATTTCTAAAAATTTAAACTACAATAAATAAGGCTCTGTGTTGTCATTAAATGGTTTAATTTCGGAGGTTTTGTTTGTTTGTTTGTTCTCTTGTGGTTTTCCGTTTTCCCATTTCACTGAGCCATCAGTCCTTTGGGAGGCTTATATTAAAACCAGGAGTAATTTGGCAGAGAATACCTCCTTCCTTCACAAAATAATATTCCTGAGGATTTACTGCTCTGTAACCAAACAACACAACTCACTCTCAAATCTAACCCTGTGCTTCTCTCACAGTGACATAAGTGTGCCCTCCAGACAGCTGCTGACCTTGCTATCATCTCTCATATCTGCCTTCCCCGCAACTGGACCACTGGGCACCTTTCTCACCAGGTTTATAACATCTTTGTCTCCTAAGAAATCTTTTGAACCTTTATATTCTATTCTCCTTCCCCACACTATCAAAAAAAAATGATAAATAACGATCAAAAAATAATGATAAAGGTTCTCCAACAAATAGCTCTTTCCACTTTATAATTTTGATTAGTGCCAAGAAAACTTCAACAACTCTCCCCATATAAGAGTAACTGTAAATCTGCTGTCAAATTTTTTAATGATCCCTATATTCCTTTTCTATTCCTGCAAAATGGGTATTATCTCCCATGTTTTTCTACTTGTTTATGCTCATCTTACTGTGCCCATTATAGTGATTAGGCTCACGGTGGTAAATGGCACTGACTGGATCTCCTTTTGACATAAATAACAGATAAGCCAAAATTTGCCAAAGATACTTATTCTTTGTATCCGTTGTAGTTCCAAACAGCATTTGAGGTCATTAACAATGAAAATTTATAGGAAAGTTAATTAAAAGAAAAATAAAAACAGAAGTCCTTTTTTTAGAGTCAAGAATAAGGTAATTACTGTCACAGACCATAAAATTTGGCTGGAAATTTTCTGGCACACTAATGAAAAGAATGCAACGCTCTCATCATGAGACCAATGAGTTCTTCCTTCAACAAAAATCTATTTAACTAATATTTATGAAAGACTCATAACACCTTGGTAGCATATTTACTTCATGGTTACACGGCCAGACCTGAAGAGCACAGTATTCAGGGAGTAGGCAGATGCATAAAAAGTGACCACAGTGTGAGCTTAATTCAGTGATTGCAGTCTACACACAATGTCAGTGGGAACTCTCACTGCAGTCAGGAGCAGCTGCTGCTCTGGGGGAAAAGCAGAATTCCCAGGACAGAATTCACACTGAGGATCTCTGTGTCCAGAGGTTTGCGCTAGAATATATCATATGCCAAAAATACCTGAAGCTTCAATTTTTTTTAAAAAAATGTGCATTTTGTACTAAACAAACATTCTCAATTTGTGCAAAATTTTCATTGTTTCCCATGACATTATATTTGGGATATTTCCAAGTTCAAAAATCCACTAAATTTGAAATGACTACATGCATACATACTGTTATGGATTAAGAACTGGTGGTCAACTTAACGCCAGCTGGATTATATCATCATGCATTGAGCAAAGATGCTCCACCTGAGGAAGGTTACCAGGATAAATAGGTGGAGCAGAAGGGAGTTGTAGAGGGTTGAAGTATTAAGGAGGCATTGTGGGTTCTCCTACGAGCTGTTGTCTGAGCTGTTGGTTCTGACATCGAGCATTGCTTCCTGGCTTCGGAGGGGAAGACATGTGCTGCCTGGTCTCCAGGATGAACTCTTCACGCTGCTTCCTGGCACGTACCCGACTGTGCTTGCCGTCGGAGGAGCTCAGGGCCTTCGTGTTGCTGAGGACAGCTGTGGTGCTTTCAGGATAGCCCTGGTCTTTGTTGTGAGTGTGACTTCTCAGCTCCAGCATAGAACCCTCATCCCACTAGCACAGTTCCTTCATCCTGCTGGCATAGACCTTCTGGCTTCCACCACTAACCCTTGGGTCCTCCCGGCACCGATCCGTAAAAGAGACTGGTGTGAGTCCTTGTGGGCCCTGGACCTCCAGTTGGACTCATGGGAGGCATTGCCCTGAGCTCTGAGTTTTTATCTGGACTCATGTGGGACATTGCCGTGGGGCTTAGGCTCTTGACTAAATAATCTATGTCTTTGGTGTTGCGCATAGATTTCCTGCATTTTCCTGTGTTAACTCCCAGTGACCATTATAAAAACATTATAAACTCCATGTCCTAATCTTGTTTTCTGTATAACCCCTGACTATAACACATACCTACAATAAAAACAGGCTCTCAGATAATAAAATATAAAACATAGGCTTCCTGCTTTGTTTGAGAGCAGGTCACACAAACTCAAGTTTTAATATTGTATTTTCAAGTGACACTGGGATCACTGTGGGAAAATTTGATCCAAAAAACTCAAGTCTTAGAGCCAGGAGTTTAGCTCAGCAGCATAAGTGCCTGCTTGGCAAACGTGAGGTCATGAGTTCAATGCCTAGTACAAAAAAAAAAAAAAAAAAAAAAAAAAAAGCTTCAAGTTTTTGTGAAGGATGGTAAAAGCCCACCCAGCCACAGCCTCTCCCTTGAGAATGATGAAAGTGAGCCCAAAGAGAAAACAGGGGTGTGCAACATCACCCAGCTGTGGAGGGAAGCCAAGACGAGCAGGTACACTGAGCTGTTGGGGCTTCACAGGAGACACTTGGGCTGTAGCAGATTCCCAAACACTGAGCAACACTCTCATCCAGGGAACCTGCTAAACATCCCACTGCTATTGCTGAAATGTTTGTGGCCCTCCAAAATCCATCTTGAAATCAATCCCTCACATGCTGACATTAAGAGGTGGTGACTTGGGCAGTGATGAGGTAATAAGGGCTCTGCCCTCAGGACTAGGATTAAAACCTTGAAGGAGCTATAGCCTCTCACAGGAAGAACAGGCCCTCGTTCAGCACCAAATCTCCTGTATTTCCCCAGCCTTTGGAATCATGAGCAATATATTTATGTGATTTTAAGATTACTAAACCTCAGTTATTTTATTATAGCAGCCCAAAGGGACTAAGACACAAGCCTTGAATATGCTGGAAGGCAGGGTGAAGCCAAGCTCACTCTCGACAATGGCAGTGGGCTGAATAATGTTTGTGCAGATATAGCCACCTCCTAAGTCCTTGAAACTATGAGCATGTTACCTAACATAGCAAAAGGGATCTTGTGGATGGGATTAACTGATGATCTCAAGATGGGAGATGATTTTGGATGATCCAGGTGGGCACAAAGTAATCATAATGGTGCTTCTAAAAGAGAGGTAAAGGGCTGAGGATTTAGCTCTGTGGCACAGCACCTGCCTGGCAAGTGTGAGGTCCTGAGTACAATTCCTGGTACTTCCTCCCACCAGAGAGAGAGAGAGTCACAGAGAGAAGACAGTATGACATTAGAAGCAGAGACTGCAGTGACATGATTTAAAGGTAAAGAAAGGGGGTATCAGCCAAGAAATATAGTCAACCACTAGAGAATGAAGGAAATGTAGTCTTGCTGACACCTTGGCAATAATCAAGTGAAACTGATTTGAGAACTAAAGATTAACTTTGTGTTACTTTTAGCCACTTAAGTTTGTGGAAACATTAAATGAGCAGCAGTGAGAAACTAACAGTACAACTCCTTTATCTTCTCTCCTTATCAGACAGTGTGAACCACCATATGCTTTACATTCTTTCAGGGGACAGGAAAGATACAAGACCGAGCAAGCAAGTTTCTGTGTGAGCACTTACTATGGAGAGCAGGCCATCCACTCAGCAGCTGTGATAAGAGCAGAACACACACACGGAAAGGCACTGGTCCTGAGTGGTGTGAGAGCTGAGAAACAAAGCCTCGGTCCAAGCCTGCTTTATTGGTAGATGAGAAAGGATCAAATAGCAAGTGAGTATGTGCCACAACTTCACACTGCATGTCTCTAAAGAAACCACTATGTCCATGAAGTCTAGACGGAGCAAATTACTTGGATTCTTATGGTAACAGAGATTCGTAATATAACATGTAATGTCCTCAAGCAACAATTCTATAGAGACATTCTCATGGGTATTCATAATGTTGGAATCCTATCAGTGAGCAATTTGCCTTGTTTGATGAAAGCTCTACTCTAGTTGTTAAGTACACACAGTCCATATCCAAACACACCATATCTTTTTCAGCACAGGTGGGGCAACTAGGTCATAGAAGACTTTGAGCAAATAAGATTTTATGATAATGCTCCGCTCTCCACCCTTCTTCTGCTTCACCCAGCCCATAGAAATCTTAGAAGCTGTTCATTAGCCAAAGCTTTCTGGGTTTCTTGCCAAAAGACACACCCAGGAAGGCTCTTTTTCCCATATCTAGTTACTAGCCCCTTTTCTGGCTAAGGAACCTCCTCAGTTTTCATTTCCAAGACGTACTCTACAATCCAGGCACCAAGTTAATTTGGCTTCTTCTGGAAGAGCAACACTACAATTTATCACCAATATTTATGATGAAATTGTTAAAAACTCATTTCAAAATATCCCTGAGTTTTATTTTAAGCGAGTTATATTTTCTTGTTCTTAGTTTAGCAAGTCACAGTTGATGTTAGACTTTATCCTGTCCTGCCTAGAGGGAAAATGTGACTTATCTTCCTTGCCAAGAATCTCTCCCTCAGTGTAAATGTTTTCCATGTCTTATATCATGCTATACTCACATGGTAAATACTGGCAAGGACTGGAAATAACACAATATAGAGGTAAAAGCCCTGGATAAAAGTTATAATATCTGCATTCAAATTACGGCCTTAATATTGTTTGTCCCTGGGGAAGCCAGTGACCTGTCTGTGTTCAGTTTCCCCATCTATATGTTATTTATATATTTTTCATACCTATAATTATATTTACAATATGGTAGGCTATTCCGTGGCTGCAGAATTTATCCCTTTAGGAGGAAGATATTACCTAAAATAGTCATCCTTGTTGTCCAAAGATGCTTCTTTTTAAACTTCATAGTAGCAACAATAATTCTAAAAACTTCATAGTAGAAACAATAATTCTCAAATCTTTCCACTGTTTTTACATCAAAATCAAATCTTGGAGGTAAATGATAAGTGTATCTCAATTTGCCAGAACTTTCCCATTTTGTCAGTGGAAGCTCAAGAATCCTTCTCAGTTCCAGGGCAATCAGGGATCACACTGCTTGGAAGTTTCATGATGAACCACAGTAAAGTGATAACGAAGAAATGGGGGAAATAATGTGAGGAGGAATGGTTATTCTAGTAATCTAATGACTAAACTGAAAGGGTTTTGGCCCAGACAGGACACTGTAGCCAGGAAAGCCTCAACCGGAAGCAGGAAGCCCCTATTTCCCCCGCCCCTAGGAATTTACCTCTGGCGCCAAACCTAGGATTAATGGGCTACCTGTGCATCCCTAATGCCCCCTTAGGTTCCACCCCAAACCGAGGCTACTTATATACCCTCCACGCCATGTGTCCGCCAGACGCCAATGGTGGGGGGTGCCGGTCATCTCTCTCCGTGTTTTCAGAATAAAGGCTGCTTTTTGTTTTATACTTCTCATCTTTTGGAAATACTTCTCATGTTTTGGAAATAATCCTATCATAAACCTGCATGTATATTTAAGTATACAAGATAGATAACCATACTACTAAGTTTTTGTTAGTTCATCAAACAGAATGGTTTGTACTGTCATTGTTTGATGATCTGTCCACTTTTTATGCTTTGATTTTGTAACTTGAACAACTACTTATTAGGTAATAATATGTAATTTATCAACTAGTGATTTCTTATTGTTATTTTTTTGACTGATGATTTCTTACTGTTGTTTTTGTAATTCTGTATTATTTCTACCCTGTTATCTGTTTTACTTTTTTTTCTCTAAATAAAAAAAATCTAATAAGCAATCACCTCTAAAAAGTGATTTAAGAGCAGTGATGTATTTGTTCTGGAAACTGAGTCCTGAATAGCTTAGCTGGGAGGTCCACACTCGGGGTGTCTCTTGAGGCTGCAGTCAATGAATGACACTGCCATCATCTTGAAGGTTTTAGTTCCTGGCCTGGGCACACCTGAACAGTTAATAATATGTTTCTCTTTCCCACATGATCACCCCAAAAGAAAGCCTGGGGGTAAATAGACTCCTCATATGAAGGCTGAGTGCTCCTCAAATAAAACCTAAGTGAGATTAACATTTCCCATTTTAGCCTTTGCTCACGCAGCATCACTTCTTCCATATGTTTTTTGTGACAGAGTCACAAAAGCCCAGGAAAGGAGTCTCCAGGAAGAACCACAAGGCCAACTGAATCCAGAGAATAGAGTAATGTTTTTCTAGAAGCAGGTCAGCAAAGTGCCCCAAACCCCACTGTCTAACTAACTGATGAGGAGGATCACTAGAGAGATACAGGAGCCAGGGAGCAGTCAGAGAAGTGGGCCTCACTTCTGTGCCTCAGCAAGGTCATACGGGCCACTGCCAACACACACAGAAGCAGGTGAAGAGAAATAAAACCTGGGAGTGATTTAAGCACAAGAAGACTAAGGAGGTGGATTTGAGCAAGTAGGTGGGACCATTTCCTAAGGTAGGAAAGTCTGGAAAGAAACAGGTTTAGGGAGAGTACGGGTGGGGCAAGGAATTGTTTATTAGAGAAGCTAAGTAGACAATGAGATCAGGAAAAGCAGGATATACCCTTTCAGTAAAGCAATAAACAGAGGCCTTACCCAGTGTTGACATTTAAGGAGAGGTGTGAAAGGTATGAGGAAGGCATTCCAGATGGAGGGAAGGGTGCAAAGGAAATGGGGTCATGTGAAAGACAGGAGTTAGTTGGAAATTTTAAAGTCCTGGTTCCTTCTCTTCGCTGCTCCCGTGAGAAAAATCTAAGATACAGTATGAAAAATGGCTGTCACTTCTTGGATTAGCTCACTCCCTGGGCTCTAGTAACAGTAGCTCCATGGCAACTTCTTTTCTGTTTTTGGATTTTGTAGACAGAGTACTACAATGTAATCCAGGCTGGCCTCAAACTCACTATGTAGCCCAGGCTGGCCTCAAACTCTCCATCCTCCTACCTCAGTCTCTTGAGTCCTAGGAGTCCAGGCGTGAGTACTGGAATTAAAAGCATGGACCACTATACCTAACTTAAATGTCACCTCCTCTGTGAGAACTTCATTTACAGCCTTATCAAAGTGGGTCTACTTTTATATTTTCTGCACTCACTGGCCTAATTTTCTCAAGACTTCCTCATCTCAGAAAACAGCTTGATGTGTGTGTTTGGGTCAAAGTCTTCTTTTCTTTACAGTAATAAAGACGAAACTGCCTGTGAGCACATGACTTACTGTCTACCCCTCTTCCACATACCTACTTTGGTAAGCTTCCTGGGACCAGGTTCCAATATCCTCGGTGAAAGGGTTTTGGCCCAGATAGGACACTGTAGCCAGGAAAGCCACAACTGGAAGCAGGAAGCCCCATCTCCCCTGCCCCTAGGAAGTTACCTGTGACGCCATCTTCCCGCCCCTGGAAATTTACATATGGCGCCAAACCTAGGACCAATGGGCTACCTGTGTATCCCTAATGCCCGCCTTAGGTTCCACCCCAAACCGAGGCTATTTACAGGCGGCCACACCACGTGTCTGCCGGAGAGATCGCTGGACGCCAGCGGTGGGGGTGCCGGGCATCTCTCTCCGTGTTCTCAGAATAAAGGCCACTTTTTATTTTATATTTCTCATCTTTTGTTAATATTTTTCATCTTTTGGAAATAACCCTAGCACTCGGCACTCAGAACATCTGGCTCAGGGGTGCTCACAAAGTATTAGATGAATGAACACATGAATGAATGGAGAATACTTATTCTCTAAAGAAAGGGCATTTTCTTCTGGTCTCAATTTCTTTGCTTATAAAATGAGGCTAGTTAATAAATGCGGCAATTTCTAGGGATCCTTGTTGTCTAGGGTGGGATTCCTTCTGTAATTGAATGAGCACTCTAATGGTTGCTTCAGTAAGGGCATCTTTTCTTCATAGATAGGAGCTACTTCGATCTTCTCCCAAATAATCCATTTATGTCCACAAGAGAGAGTAAAATTTTATTAGTAATACAGTTGACACTTGCCCAAAAAAGTAAGGCAGAACAAAAAAATAAATCCTTCAGTACAACAAATGTTAGAATAAATAATCTATGCTCAGAGTTTATTTATATCTGGCATTTAGTTTTCCTTTGGTTTGGCTTCTCTGGGATAAAGACCAATAAGTAAATGCAAGAAAATACAAAATCAAGATTTTATTAACTGCAAATGGTTTGTTTATTTCTACCTGAGGTAATATTCTTTATTGTCAATTTTCAATTTCATTCATTTATCAAGTTCTTCCTGACTGCCACCCCACCAACTACTACGTAAAAGAAATATTCTTACCTCGGCAGAGTTCCCAGCTACATGACTTCAGTTTAGTACCTACTAGCAAACAGCAGTAAGAGAACCTCCCTTTGTCAAACTAAGAAGTGGTTAAATTCTCTTTAAGCTTCAGAATAAATACATTTCAAGCCATTTCCATGATCCATTTTACCATGCATCAACACACCCAGCTTCAGAGGTTAAAGCATAAAAAAATAAGCTTTAGGGGAAAGTAAAAATTTGATTTGAAAAATACTCACTAAAAAGAAATAGCTGTCCGTGGAAGAATTCCTTACTCTCTTCTGAAATTTTGTAAGCAAATCAAACTTTCAAATTTACTTTGGAAGTTTCCTTCTCCACTAAATTTCTCTCCAGTCACCCAGACCACCATAAAATCTCCTTCTTCTAAATTTCCATGGACTTTTTGTGGAAGTACTCAACTTGCTTGACTTAGGCTTTACAGGTGGTACTTATAGGTGATCTTCTGCTAGTAAGTTATCTTTCCTTCTATTGTGCAGCGCTGACAGGACAAGAGCTTCCCACTACCTAGAGCACTCAGCAAGCCTAATACCACACAGGTTTTTCAGTGCGTCATTATCTGTCTACAAATTATTGATAAGAGACACATTTTCAACTATTAATGAGCATTTTTCCCTAACATTTATATTGTTAACTTTGTGTTTTAACATAATCATAGATTCATGGAAGTTGCAAAATAGTACTTAAAATCATCATAATCTCCATCTAGCTTCCCCAAATGAGCAAAGTATCTAAGACAGTGACATCTTACTACAATATCAAAACAAAAAACTGGCTTCAGTATAATACTGTTAACTTGACTGGGGCTGGGCTTAGCTCAGCAGCATAAGCGCCTGCCTTGTAAGCAGGCAGTCGTGAGATCGATCCCCGTACCGATAAAAAAAAAATCCCACCAAAATTTGACAGTAGGCCGTCCCGTTTTTTGCAGATGCACATGTATTTTTGTCTGAATGTGTAGTTCTATATAATTTTATCCCATATGTTAGTCAGCTCTCTGTTACTGTGACAAAATACTTGAAATAATAAACTTACAAAGAAAGAAGAGTTATCTTGACTTGCTGTTTCAGTCTATGGTTAGTTGGCCCTGTTTCTGGCAACTTGTGTTAAGGCACCACATCCTGGTAGAGAGCATATAACAAAACAAAGATTCTTACCTTATGATGGCCAGGAAGCAAAACAAACAAAAAACATAGAAGAAATGAGGGTCCCACAGTCCACTTCAAGGGACTTCCCTCGATGACCAGAACACTTCCCACTATGCCTTGACTCAAAGTTTCCACCACAATAGTGCCAAGCTGCAAACAAAGACTTTAACATTCTCTGGGGTACATTTACAATCCAAACTATAGTAACATGTATGTATTAAAGTAACCATCTCCACAATATAAATTCAATACTGTTCCAGTGTAGGATGGAAAACCACATTACTGAGCTTTTGTTGGATCATTGAACGGAACTGTCTCCAATATCACTGTATAAATGTCCACTTTATATGCTTTAATTTTATAATTTGGACAACTGTTTCTAAGAAGACAATATGTAACCTATTAACTAGTGACTTCTTACTGTATTTTTTTTCTTGAAATTCTGTATTACTTGTACCCTTTCACTACTTTGTTTTTTATGTCCTTTCTTTTTTCTCTTTAAATAAAAAAAGAACCCCTCGTCTTCTTCTTTTACATCCATTTCCCATGTATGTCTGTGTTTGTTCACAACTACTAATCTGCCTTCCTTCTCTACAGTTTTGTCAACTCAAAAATGTTATAAAATGGAATTACATAGTACATATCTTTTTGAGATTTTTTTGTTTTTGTTTTTGTTTTTTACTCAGCTTAATGCCCCTGAGATTCATCCAGGTTAATGCAGGTTACCAAGAATTTATTCCTTTTTATGGTTGAGTAAAAATTAATTATATAGACATACTAAAGTGTGCCTGTTTCCAGTTTTCAGCATTTATAAACAGAGATACATGTATATATTTATATATAAAGATATATATATAGATATATCTATAAGTATATATCCACTATATGTATACAAGTATATATCCACATATACATCCACTTACACACATTTGTATGAACTGAAGTTTTCATCTCTCTGGTATAAATGCCCAAGAGCACAACTGTTGGATCAGATTCCCAGTGATACATGCATTCTCTCCAACCTTTAGTATATCAGACCTTCACTTATCTGATAGGTTTATCGTGATCTCATTGTGGTTCTAATTGGCATTTTCCTAATGGATAATGATGCTGAACATTCTTTAATGTGCTTAATAGGAGCAGGAGGGAGGAAGGGAACAGGCAGAGGATTTCCTCTTGTAGTGATGAAAGTGTCTGGAACTAGATAAAGATGGCAGCTGTTCAGGGGTTTTCTTTAAGAGGCACACACCCCTGTGCCCCCATACAGTCACAGGCCCATTCTTATTCCTGTCCTTGCTACATTCAGATAGAGGCTGACTGAACTAACCCAATGGCACAGGGTTTCAAGAAGCTAAAGAT